GGTCGCCTCCGGGGCAGGCAGGGATCGAACTCATGTGGAAGTGGCTTTAGTTTCTTAGTGCAGTGCTTTAACCTGCTGCGCCACCAGGGAGGGCCCGCATCTCAACAGTTTTAAGGTGACAGCAGGAGGCTGAGAATGGTCAGAAGTGTCAAAACCATCTAACACAGGCTCAATCCAGTTCAGACTGGTTCAAACTGTAGCAATCCGGTTCAAACCGGTTTAGACCAGATCAATCCGATTTAGACGGGTCCTAACCGGATCAATCTGCTTCAGACTGGTTCAGACTGTTTCCATAGAGGTGTGAGCACTTCAGACATGCATAATAGCACCTTGACAACTTTAATAGCACCTTGACAAGAGGCTGAGAATAGTCACAAGTGTCCAAACCGGTTTAGATGTCTCAATCCAGTTCCGAATGGCTCTACCGGTTTCAGCTGGTTCTAACTGGTTTAAGCCAGTTCAAACTGGTTTAATCCAGTTTAGACCATTCAATCCAGTTCAAACCGGTTTAGATTGGATAAAGCCAGATCAAGCCAGATCGATCCGGTTCAGACAGGATCAATCCGGTTTAGACTGGTTTGAATCCGATCAATCTGGTTCAAACCAGTTTAGAACGGTACAGACTGTTTCCATAGAGGTGCAAGCACTTCGGACATGCATACAAGCATCTCGACACCTTTCAAATGATAGCAAGAGGCTGAGAATGGTCACAAGTGTCCAAACCAGTTTAGATAGGCTCAATATGGTTCAGAACACCCCAAACCGGTTTCAGCCGGTTCGAACTGGTTTAAGCTGGTTCAGACCGGTTCAAACAGGATCAATCCGGTTCGAACTGATTTGGACCGGTTTAAGCCTGATCAATCCAGCTCAGAACGGTTCAAACGGGTTTAGGCCGGATCAATTCGGTTCAGACCATTTCAAACCAGATCAATCCAGTTCAAAGCGGTTTAGGCCGGTTCAATCTGACTCAAAACGGTTCAGACGGGCTCAAACCGGTTCGTATCGGTTTATTTGAACCGGCCCACACTGATTTAGACCAGTTCAGAACGGTTTTGACATTCTGATCAAGTTCCGACCATGTCAGACCTGTCTATGACTTCTCAAAACTTTTAAAGTTATAGCAACATTCAGACAATGGTCACAATGCTAAGAAGGGTTTGAACCGGCTCAAACTGGCTCAAACTGATTTAGATAGGTTCAAGCCAGCTCACAGCAGTTTAGAGCGGTTCAATCTGGCTCGAACCGGCTCAAAGTGGTTTAGACCGGTTCAAGCTGCTTTCAGCGGGCTCAAACCGGTTTCAGCCGGTTCAAACCGGTTTAGGCCGGTTCAAACCTGCTGACACCAGTTTGGACTATTCCAATAGACATCTGAACACGTCACACATGCCTGGGAGCATCTTGACACTTTTAAAGTGATAGCAACCAGCTGGGAATGGTCACAATGCTCAAAACGGTTAAAACTGGCCCGATCTGGATCAAACCAGTTCCGGCCGGTTTAGACCAGTTCAATCCGGTTCAGATAGGTTCAAAGAGGTTGAGACCATTTCCATAGAGGTGCAGCCACTTCAGACATGTATAAGACCATATCGACAGTTTTAAAGAGACAGCAACAGATGAGTGTTCAAATCGGTTTAGACGGGTTCAATGCAGTTCAATCCAGTTCAGTCTGGATCAAACAGGTTTAAACCAGATTAAGCAGGTTCTATATGGATCAACCCGTTCAATCCAGTTCAAGCCAGTTTAGACCAGTTCAAACTGGGTTAAATAGTTTCAATCCGGTTCAAGTGGGATCATTCCAGTTCAGACCGGTTCAATCCAGTTCAGACTGTTTCCATAGAGGTGCAAGCACTTCAAACTTGCATAGAAGCATCTCAACAGTTTTAAAGTGATAGTAACAATCTCAGAATGGTCACAAGTGTTCTAACAGGTTTAGACTGGTTCAATCTGGATCAAACCAGTTCAACCGGGTTTAGACAGGTTCAATCCCGTTCAGACTGGTACAAAGCGGTTAAGATGGTTTCCATAGAGGTACGAGCACTTCAAGCATGCATAGGAGCATCTCATCAGTTTTAAAGTGATAGCAATATGCTGAGAATGGTCACAAGTGTTCAAACCGGTTTAGATTGTCTAAATCCGGTTCAGACAGGTTCAACCCAGTTTTGACCGGTTTCCTACAGTTTAGACCCGTTCAAACTGGTTTTGACCGGTTCCATACAGGGTAGACCAGTTCACACACCTTGAGAAGCATCTCAATACTTTTTTTTTTTTAAAGATTTATTTATTTGTACATACAGAACCGGGGTACAGGCTAGAGGCTCAGGGGCGGTGAGAGGCTTCACCAGAGACA